GACTTGTGACTGGACTTGTGACTGGACTTGTGACTGGACTTGTGACTGGACTTGTGACTGGACTTGTGACTGAACTTGTGAAGAGACTTGTGAAGAGACTTGTGACTGGACTTGTGACTGGACTTGTGACTGGACTTGTGACTGGACTCAACTATAACACTGGATTTTGTTATTCTATGCGCCTGCATGGGAGTTCATTGTTCTTCAGGCATAAATTCAGAGGTCATGCTTGGGTGGACCGAGGTACATTCTTTCCATTGTGTGCCACGTATATCTCTCTCAAGCAGTTGCTGGCTCAAGACAGAGCTGTTCGGCATTCACGGCACAAAACCATATTGTGGACATTCTATGAGAATGTGTTCCACACGTGCCCAGTGCCTACTTATACATGTACATGTAAATGTAAATTGGTGTCTACCGGTACTCCTCAGGCACATGATTCAACCTGCACTATCCTTATCACCATCAAGAAGTATCCTCACTGGAGCAGTGGCATTTTCAAGGGTGGGGGAGGGGGAGAATCTTGGCTTAGCCTCTATCATAGTTGTACATCNACTTGTGACTGGACTTGTGACTGAACTTGTGACTGGACTTGTGACTGGACTTGTGACTGGACTTGTGACTGAACTTGTGAAGAGACTTGTGAAGAGACTTGTGACTGGACTTGTGACTGGACTTGTGAAGAGACTTGTGACTGGACTTGTGACTGGACTTGTGACTGGACTCAACTATAACACTGGATTTTGTTATTCTATGCGCCTGCATGGGAGTTCATTGTTCTTCAGGCATAAATTCAGAGGTCATGCTTGGGTGGACCGAGGTACATTCTTTCCATTATGTGCCACGTATATCTCTCTCAAGCAGTTGCTGGCTCAAGACAGAGCTGTTCGGCATTCACAGCACAAAACCATATTGTGGACATTCTATGAGAATGTGTTCCACACGTGCCCAGTGCCTACTTATACATGTACATGTAAATGTAAATTGGTGTCTACCGATACTCCTCAGGCACATGATTCAACCTGCACTATCCTTATCACCATCAAGAAGTATCCTCACTGGAGCAGTGGCATTTTCAAGGGTAGGGGGAGGGGGAGAATCTTGGCTTAGCCTCTATCATAGTTGTACATTACCCTCTGCTTCAAGAATCAGTTGCACACATAAGATTGACATAAGATTCCTTACCGGTAGCTCCACAGAACTCAATTTTTGTTGCAGCAAAAAATATCCAATTATTTGAAATGTGGCTCAATTTTGGAATGTTTCCAACTGGTTTGAAAGGTTACCATCTAAAAACCAGTTATGGGGCATGAGGCAGAGTGGGAAGGGCTCTACATACATGTACATGTAGTTCCGCGTGCAAACTTTGTTCGGACTTACATCTGCTCTGTTGTAGTATTTGAGGGTGTAATCGGTCTCCGAGAGGACGAATCGGCGCTCCATGAAGTTCTGCTTGTCCCTCAGTTTCTTCCACATCACCCCTTCCATCTCTTTGGTCCGGTACTTCTGCAGGTTGACATTGACGAACTCCTGCCTCTCATACTTGCCACGGATCCACTGCTCGCGGACCACCCTGAGTAAAACATAACACCAATGGGAAACAAACATTTTTTTCCACTCCAACTCCAGCGCGTGGGACTTCATGTACATATACAGACAGAACTGCAGGACTGCTCTCAGTTTTGGACCAAGTATATCACAACACAACTTACAGGGAAAATAAAAAAAGAACACCAAATACATGTAAAGTGCTAAGATATAACTGACATGATCTACATCTTAATGTACATTCCACTACTGGTGTCTTGGGCAGCAATGCCAGTCCTGGTTGTACATGAAAATAGCGAGGATGATGGACTGAAGATCCTCAACCAGCCACAATTATTATAATCTTGACTTGGATAGATGATGGCTGGAGAGATTGTAGGCCTAGTTTCTCAATCAGTTTAATAATGATTCACTGCTTTTGATTAAACTTTCACTACATTGTATCTTGCTGCAACTAATGATGTAACTTCTGCATCCGCCATTGATTCTGAGTGTTCATTTGGCACTGTGCACCAAACCCCTTGTGTATTACTCATGTTGGGTATCCACACATCCACACGATGTACATGTACATGTAACTTGTAAGCACCATGAATTGGTGACCCTTCTGTGAGATAATGAGCTACATATAGTATTGTGTAGTGGGCCTGATGAACAAATTTTTAAAAAAAGGTGACACAAGTGACACTGAAATACGTGTGCAATGCAGTGCTGGAAGTTGGTACAATGTACATGTACATGTAGTTCCTGGAAGTTTCTGAGTGCTCAAAAAATGTTAATTAATTCCTTTAAAAAGTAATAAATAAAGGCCATTGTATGGTGATTGGTGAATAAAACAAGGGCTTTGTAGTTACACAGGAAAACATATACTTTCAAGTTTTGGAATCTTGTGGTTTCATTTTCATGCTGGGAAAAAAGTATTCAGTTCTTAACCAGGAAGTACTGGTACTGTGCATGTACATGTAATTGCTGGGCAAACCACGCTACAAGGAAATAATGCTAAAATTCTCCCAAAAATTCTTCCAAATTCCTGGAACATTTGCCGTTATGGCCGTAATTGTTGATGACGTCAATGTCTGACTTGTTTGCTCACTGTTCTATGGTTTACTGAAAAAAATAAAAAACAAAGGTGTACGCGCAATTGCAGGACAGGACAGATGAGATGTTTGTTGTTCAAAATCAAGGTAATAACCTCCCTGTGCTGCAGGTTTACTACTCCAGATATATACGAAACACACCACCAGTACTAAACATGCAAACCTTATCACAGCTGTGCTGCTTAACACAAACGGTGCCTTCTTATTATCACTGGACTACGATTCCTGAATACACCAGCCAAAAAAACCCAACTTCCTGTAAACTCTCTGCTAGTTTTTCTCAGCAGCTAACGTTCAATGAAACAGTTTACATACTTTGAAAGAACTGTGGTCTTTTTGCACGTATTGCATGGCAGGTAATACACTTTACATGTAGGCCTACACGGCTGGCTGGCTGCATTGTCATCCTGCACAGAATAGGTGCATTTACTTCACGGTGTTGCTCATACCGCACTTTTGCTGAACTGCATTATTCTACATGCACTGAATATAGAAGATTAAAATGGGAGCAAAAGAAAATCCCCATGTTGTATTGCTATCCTTGTATTTTTGTGGGGAAATTCCTTTGATCTTGTGCAGTAAAAAAAATTAGCATATAAAGCACACTTTTCTAATTGCTTGCAGTTGGTCCTGAATCATTTTCCTTGGATGAAATTTTGACAGAACGTCCCTCATATAAAACACTTTAATTTGCTTAAAAAATTCCCCATTTTGAGTAAATTCCAAATATCAGTTTCGTGAAATTCTTATGGGGTACCATTTTAGTATCCCACAAGTACAACAAATGTTCCTTATGGGGGTACTTCCTATTATTCTGGTATCCCACAAGGCACCTTTAACACATGCAGTAACTACAAGTACAGTGCAAAGTAAGTGTAAAGTACATGTACAATACATGTACATGTATGTAACATGTACATGTACCGGTACCCTGTAAAGTACACACATCTTGACCTTATCATGTGCAACTTCTGGCAAAATGAGATACTGGCCAATTGCCTCCATGACAAAAGAAAGCTTACGGGGAAATTTGCAGGGCACGATTTTGTACCAGTGGCAGTTCAAAAAACACTACATTGTCTGCTTGCCAGAATGACAATACACGGAGGTATTTCACTGCAAAGGGGAATTTCCCAATCTCTTCCGCAAACTGTGACATATCAAGAAATGGGAATTTCAGATGTGTACCGAGTTGTCACATATATATGTGTTCATGTTCAAATTCATACATGAAAGCTTTCGTTTCGGAAAATGTTGGTGTCTAGAAACTTCAATGAAATTGTTCTATCCAAGTGCTTGGATACGTCATGACATTAAATGCATATTTTGGAGCCTGTTTGGTTTCCATGCCTTACCTTTTAGGGTGTACATGTACCGGGGTACGTGTACGTGTATGTAAAACGATATTAAAATTTGAGGATTCAGGACTGTTAGGGTTGAATATTCATGAGGAATTCTGTGATGTCAGTCTAAGAAGAAACTATCCATGTTGAAATGATTTGTACTCAAACAAATTCTGGAATATTGCTGTTCTAAATTTCCATTTCTTGGATCATTCATGGGGACTCTCTCTCAGGTATGTTTTCGGTTAGCAAATTTTGGGTTGATAATTTGAAACAGGAAGGGCCTCTGAACTCATCTTCCCTGGATGACTTCACAGCAACAGTGTCCAAGTTGTCAGGAAAAGCATCTATACACAATTGTGATTTTTTTTTAAGTGTTCCTTTTTTCAATAAACAAAAAAAGGACGTCAAATTGTTTCTAAATATCAAAGCAGAGTCTAAACTTGCACAAAAGTGTTAAGAAAATTGTATGGACCCTAAGAGTGTGGATTTTTCTGCTGAAGAGACTGAGTGACCTCCTTTCATATGACCCGTGTTAAGATCGAGTTCAGGCGGCCTGTTCTTATGTATGTTTCTTGTTCTTGGGCTTGAAGGATGGGAACACAATTGACTCAGGAACACGGTTCTCTGAACAGGATCACCACCTCCTTGTCAGGGTTTAACAAGAACACACGGAAAATCTACCCAGATTTTGATTTTTGAACTGACGCAAAAAAAATGTGAGATGGCTTGCAGAGCTAAAGATAATGGAAATGTTTACATTAACATTAATACATGTAATTTTCCATAATACAGAAATGAATGTTCCTTTTTAAAAAGAATTCAGCCCAATTATCCAAGCACTAACCCGTAAAGAACGTACTT